TACATAGTACAAGTGTCCAAAACTATTTATCATTGCACACCAAAGAAGATCAGTGAGAGAAGACGGCCTAGGAACATTCTTGAACATCCAAATGTGCAATAGCTTTCATAACACTATTTGAGCCAACATTTCATCAGCCTTTTCTAGTTTAGTTGTTCAAGATCTGTCATAAGGAATCATAATCAGCTGTCGTAGTCAACCTCAAACCAAATTTCATCATATATGCATTAAGTCAAACAAATTATTTGGGTTGGAATTATTGGGTCATTCCAATTAAAAGTGAGTAACAATGGAGGAGACTTCTGCCAAATTTGCTCTAGGATGTTAATAAAGTGTTATGTTCTCTCTAACACCAACAGTCTCCTTTGCTTGGGGAATAAAAGAAAGATTGTGTTTGGGATGGTATTTCATTAGTTCTCCTTTTTGATTTATGATTTAGTGTTTGGAAATTCCAAAATAAAGTAAAAACTCATGGGTTGCTACCAGGAAATATAGGGACAACTTGAAAAATTTAGTTTAGGTTGGATAAACACAAGAGCTGGACTGTTTTTCCTGCTGTGTGTTTTGCTATTGACATTTTGTGTTACTAATGTTTTCCAGGACAAAAGGTATTGAAGTGTAACTAACTATAACATTGTATTATGCAATTAGTTTAACTACAGAATGAATTTTTTAATATGCCTTTTCATTACGAGAGGCAGGGTGTTAGGTAGAAACAATGCTAGAATTGGAATTAGGAGATCTGGGTTCAAATCTAGCCGTTTAACCCTAGTCAATTCATTTAACATCTCCAACTTTCATTCTCTTCATCTATAAAATGAAGCTAAGAATAGTATCGACCTCACCAAACTGTTAGGAGCAAAATACTTTAAACCTTAACAGAGGCTAAGTTGTTAATTTGTCAACAATAAAGTGAAAAGTAATCAGAATGGTGACCCTTAATGCTAAATTCTTCTGTTTTTCCATGATCTAGAATCTTCGGTATGCCCTTTGGATAATTTCACACCACTTCTCTCAGGAAGCAATGCTTTTAAATATTTCTTTTCAGCAAATAGTTACTCCTCAGGAAGTATCTAATTTTAAATATGTTTCAAGTGCATTTATTTCATAAATTTTAAGGCATAAGTACAAAAATGAGTGACTATACTTCTTTGTCTTATATATATATTTGTTTTATATATATATATATACACACATATATACACACACATATATACATCTATACATACATACATACATATATGTACATGTATATGTACATGTACATATACATGTAAAAAGAAAAGGCTGTTCTCAGAGGGCCAGTCTGGGGCTAGCTGATTTCTGCACCCTACTTCGTGACTCTCCTTAGGCAGCTTATGAAATTATAGACTGGTATCATTACAAGGAACCATAGAGATGATCATGTCTAGCCCTACCTTACAGATGGGGAAACTAAAGCCTTGAAAGACAAAATGATTTGGCAATGATCACACAGCTAATAAGTGGCAGGGCAGGACCAGAAAGAACCAGGCCTTTTATATTCCATTCTTGTATTCCAATGCTCTTTCCATGAAACTGATCATACTGTTCAAGCTTTAATCATTTTTATTAATCAATCTGGCAAACTGAAAAGAGGGCCGACCTTGGAATCAGAAAGACCTAGTACTTCTTCTAACATGGGCTAGTGGTTAGTTCATGGGCTGGTCATTTAATAACCCAGCTGCCTAGGCAACTCTGTGAGACCTCAAGTTACAGAGAGTTGCAAATTTACATTAGTAGAAAGAGTTTCCATACTAGTGAGATCATAGGCCAAGTATTTATATAATTATAAAATTAATCTTTAATTTTTATTATCATTAATTCTCAGACTTTCCTTTTAGAGTCTTCTACTTCAATCAATTATTGATCCATCTATGATTTCTTTTTTTGACTAGGCAATGGGGTTAAGTGACTTGCCCAGGGTCTCACAGCTAGTAAGTATCAAGTATCTGAGGCTGGATTTGAACTCAGGTCCTCCTAACTCCAGAGCCGGTACTCTATCCACTATGCCACCTACCTGCCTCTATCTATGACTTTTTTTTAAAAAAATTGTCTAGAGGCAGTGGGGTACAATGGAAAGAAAGAACCTTATTTCTAGAAGGCTCTGGAATCAGGGGATCTGGATTCAAATCCCACCTGTCACTTCCTTTGTGACCTTGAAAAACTTGACCTCTCTGGGCTTTGGTTTCCTCATGAGGGTATAGGAATAGATGGTCTCTGAGTCTTTTAACTCTGGATCTATTACCCTATGAGCTATGGTTTCATCTATGTGGAGACTTCCCAGTGAGTAAATTCTCTCCTAGATGGATGTAAGCAAGTTTTCAATCAAGCAAGTCTTAGAAAATTGCCTAAAGATATGGAGTGGTTAAGCACAGTGTTCTACAGCCGAGATATACAATTTATTTTTCAGATTAAGAAGAATAAAGAAATGAATTTCATTTTTTCTTAGTAATCAATGCAGTTCCTTGAGTTGGTGAAGACTAGAATGTCACTAATGCCTATGCATAGATTTTAGATTTAGAGCTGAAACAGATCCTAAAAGCCATCATTTCTACCTCCCTTCATTTTATAGGTAAGGACAATGAGGCAGAGAGGTTAAGTGATTTGACCAGAGTAATATGTAGTGTCTAAAGCAGGATTTGAATCCAGGTCTTCATGATTTTGGAACAATCAATCTACTACTCCACGACACTTCTTATATGGCCAGAGTGGAGTGGAGGATGAGTTCTTTAGAGTTTGTTGTGTTGAAGAAGGCTGAAACAGCCTTAAGCTACATCGAGTTATTCATCTGCATTAATGATTTAATGTAGGGCCATCATGGTATGATAGATAGAGGTTTTGGCCTTGGAATCATAAAAAAAAGAGTTTAAGTTCTGGCTCCAACAACTGACCATGTGACTCTAGACAAGTCACCTAACCTCCCAGTGGCCCGAGACAACTCTCCAAGACTAAAAATTGCCCCACAGTTAGAAGTCTCTGTTTACAAAGGGAGTCATTCCACTGGGAGCTCTGTGCACAGGGGAATTAACAGGTATAGACTAGAAGTTCAAGTCACCATACTGATGCTAGGGAGACAAAGTCAGAAGCAAAATAGCCCATTCCAAGTCCTCAAAGAGGTTTAATTTAAAACTGAACTCCCCACTGTATTGGGTTAGCTACTGAATAAACCTGACTGGCCTCCTAAACATACAGAAAGTATCTTGTCAGGGGCAGCTAAGTGGCACAGTAGATAGAGCACCAGCCCTGAAGTCAGAAGGACCTGAGTTCAAATCTGGCCTCAGACACTTGACACTAGCTGTGTGACTCTAGGCAAATCACTTAACCCCAATTGCCTTACCAAAAAAAAAAAAAGAGTATCTTGTCGGAGACATTTAGAAATAGCCAGAAGAAGCTATCTGCCAGCTCTGTTCCTATCCCCCTTGGTGTTTTCAGAGCACAAGGAAGGGAACCTTTCATTTCCAGCAGATAGTCACCAGCCTAACCCACAGCTATCTGAGAGTCTTGAAGCTTTCGGAGCCCCCCACATCAAGAGGGAGAATGGAGTCCCACTGCAGCTTAATGTGACAGCAAAGTGATTTTTCTCCCAAGACAAAATGTCCCACTTTGGATTAGTCACATATTTTTTCAGACATTTGGCAGACTTCTGCAACACTTTGCAATATAAAATCAGCACAGAAGTAGATGAAGATACTGTCCATTTAAAATGTATGAATGAAAATATTTTAATAAAGATTTATCTTGTTAATTTTGCCAGAATGGGAAGATTTAGTCATGGGAACTGGCCCCCATCCATTGTAACATTCCCTTTGACTTTAATGATTTCCTTCTATTTTGAAGGAAAATAACAACAACATGGCTCTCAAAAGGAAAAAAGAATAAGCCAACACAAATCAAACTACTCCTTTGAGGAAATCGAATTGTCAACGCAAGACTCATCCGTTTCTTTGTTTAGAGACTGATGCATTGTGGAAAATTCCTTCAGTAATGTAGCAGAGTCACTGCTATCTCTGAAATACAGTCCTTCAGGTGCTACAATAGACATGCAGTGGTTCTCAAAAAAATGTTCCGAGACTACAGCCAAAACACAAAGCAGCTTTAAAAAGGTGGCACAGGGATCTGTAATTTCATCAGACACAAGACTAGAGAATTGTTGTTGAGACATTAATTTAAGCTTTCCATCTCCCCCCACCTCCACCTCCACCTCAAACTTAAAACCACTAGTGGAAATATCAATTATTCTGAATTAAGAATTTGAATTTATTCTATTAAGTGACTAAGAAACTGTCTTCTTATTTAGAATAAGGAATTCAGTGAATTTAAATGGCCCATAATTAATGACAGTTTATAGAATCATAAAGCCAGAGCTAGAAGAGGCCTCAAGAGGTCCAATTCTTTATACAAATGAGGAAACTGAGACCTAAAGTTGACTTGCCTGAGGACACATGGGTAGAGCCAGAGTCAGAATTCCAACCCAAATCCTCGGACACTAAATCCAACAATTTTTCTCCTGCCTCAATTGGTTTAAAAAAGATACTTAAATTTCTGCCAACTGTTTTTCCATTAGGTAAGTGTCTTGAGACTGGGTTTTTATGTACGGAAATGATTATTGAGTCAAGGCCAGATTGCCCTTCCTGACAACACACTTTTCCCATTCTCCTCAGAATTGTACATATGAAAGAAGTTCATATAGAGCCAATAAATAACACAGCAGCTGATTTTTGTACCCATGTCACTTCTTTTGTTCTCTAGTCATTAGATGTCTAAGTGACACTGGATTTTTTTCTATTTGCCAGGTGAAATTTTATGGAAAAAATCAGAGAATCTTTTGATGCTAATTGCTTCTTGAATCAGTCCATGAATGCTATAGTGGATATTAAAGATGCCAAGATTAACAAGCACGGGGCTAATCAATTTTTGCACATTAACCGCTTTTTTATGTATCTGTGGCTCTGTGTATTTTGTCTGCCCAACACGTACAGGAATTCAAGCCTATTGGTACCGCTCACAACAGAAGGGCACAGCCTTTTGTTGCCGCAGCAAATATCGACGACAAAAGGCAGGTAGTGAGCTCCTCCTATAATTCGCCAATTGGGCTCTATTCTTCAGGCAATATTCAAGATGCACTGCATGGACAGCTACGGGGTCTTATTCCTAGTTCACCTCAAAGGTAAGTATTGACTCTTGGCTTTTGTCCATGATGTTTTTGATGATGTTACTGTTATGTTTGCACCTAAAAGTCCAGCTCTTGTTGTTCAATATTTTTTCTTTTTCTGAAAAAATCATATCATATCAGATACTTGAATAGATATTCATCCAAAGCACTGCTCTGTTGGTCAGGTACCCAAAGCATCCACACACCTGAACATCTGGATGTGATGAAGAAATGGCAGCAGAACCATCATTCTTCCCAGAGTCATAGCAAATTTGTGACTTCTCTTAATATTTATAATTTTAATAGCAGATAGGTAACTCAAGCATCCAGTTTGGGAAACAATAAACAAAAATTGTGTTTATTTGATTGCATCTTAACATTAATCTTTGTTGACTTTGTTGGTGGTGTTGTTTTTTAATCCTTTGTTTTTACAGGATGTGAACTACTTTGAACACAAGCACAATATTCGGCCCAAACCTTTCATACTTCCAGGCCGAAGCAGGTCATAAGTTTTACCAGTGTGCACTAAGGAATGCATGCTTGTTTTAACTGACTCTTACTAATTACCAAAAAATGTGATTTCAGGGTGTCTTACATTGTCTTTGAGTGGCATGGGCTCATTGTAAAGCTTATTTAAAGGGGAAAAATGCTTGCTTCACTAGCATAAATATAACCTCCCATTTCAAGAGTAAATGTTGACATTTATGGAGCTGTGAAATTTACAGCTATCAACACAGATATTTTTAACTAAAGCACTTGTTCATTTGGAAACTGTATCCAGAATACTTTGACCTTCTGAGTCATACAATATGCACAGCACCAGGGCAGAAAAGCCTAGCCAAAAAGAAAAGAGAAACATCTCTTAAAGTTGTAAGGAAGCCAGGTAGTACACAGAAAGAAGGACTTTTATACCATTATAAATATAAACCCACCAATTTCTACACCTTCTAACCATAACCCCGCAATCCCTCATTCTTACAGGCACACACACCTCAAGAGAGGCCCTTAACACAAGCCTACCAGCAGCTCTAGCACCTGCTTTTAAAAGCTATTTTCATTCTTCTAGATAGTCTAAGCACCCACAATGCTTTGCACATTTTAACACGTGCCTAATTAGTATTTGTTACAATGGATTGCTGAACTGAAGGGGGGATGGTAAGAGAGGCTCGAGAAAAAGGAAATGATTTGGGGCTTACACTTCTAAGTCATTGGGTTGGGTTGGGTTGAGTTGAAATGAGTGATAGAGTAATTTTCACATTAATAGGATTGGCTGAATGCCTTAACAGAGATGTCTATCAAACGGTGAAATGGACTGTTTATAGTTGATACAGTCTTTTCGAACTATATCCAAAATGGAAACCACCAGCTCCTTGTGTTAAGGCTTTGAGAAGTGTAGGGAGATCGGTGACTCTCATGACCTAGTCTCTTTCCTCTCAGTTGCTTTCACAAGCAACCAGAAACAGGACTCAGGGTAGCCTTGACTGGTTCCATGATACCATGGAACCTCTGTGGCTACAGTCAGGGTCCCACTACCTTCTCAAAGAGGAAGATGGATTTTTCCAACACAGGCCAAAATACCACTGTGGGGGGAAAGGGGATAGAAATGATCTATTCTAGCAAATAAAATTTGACAGACCTTAATACAGTGACTGTGGAGAATAAAATCCATTGTCTCTTCGCCACGCTTTTCCAATTTTTCTGATTCCCCCTTTTCTTCTTTTTCCCTTTTCCTCTGCCTCCCTGTTTCCTGAACTCACTTCTGTCAGGCCCATTTCCACATCTGGCTGTTCTCCCTTCTCCTTGCTCATTCCTATAGATAACAACTAATATAATTTATTAAAATAGAAAAACAAATTGTCCTTTAAAACCAATCTGCAAACAACTTAGCAGTGTTTCTGTAATAAAAAAGAGTACAGACTACAGAATTAGAGGATCTAAGTATGATCTCCCAGCTCTGTTACTTTTTAATTGGAGAAGCTTGGGCAAGTCACTTAGCCTCTATTAGACTTAGCTTCCTCATCAGTAAAATAAAAGAGGAGGCAGCTGGGTGACACATTGGCTAGACTATAGGACCTGGAGACAGGAAAACCTGAGTTCAAATTTTGCCTCAAGCCTCTTACTAGCTGTGTGTCTCTAGGCAAATCACTTAACCTCTGTCTGCCTCAGTTAACTCATCTGCAAAATGGGGATAATCACATCTAATTCCCAAAATTGTTGTAAGGATAAAAATGAGATAATATTTGTAAAGTATTCTGAAAACTTTAAAGCACTATGTAAATGTTAGTTATTGTTATTATTACCTTCTCATCTCAGTTGATGATCCTCTGAATTTCCTTAATTTACCTGTCAAGATTAGTTTTTTGGATATTTTTTTTGAGACTAGCATAGCTGGCAGCCCATTAAAATGAAACTTATATCTTTGCTATAGTAGCATAATACTATGCCCTTATTAAATATTTAGCTTTATTAAGGTAATAGATTCAAGAAAATTCATCATAGATACACTCATCTTGTATTTTATATTAAACATGTCTATAATTATATAGGTTTCACATTCTCACATTTTTCCAATTACAAAGTTATAATCCTCATAAATATCTCATCTGTCCTTAGTTCTCTAGCCAGGTTCAAATTATAGATACTTCACCATGACTATAATAGACTCCTTCATATTCTGCTGTATCTTATGGTTTAATTATTTTTGCCATAATCTAAACATTAAATTTCCATAGCATATACTAAAGATTATATTATAGACTAATATAATATATGTAGTAGTATATACTAATATTATATATTAAATTTTATATAAAGCAATACTTCAACTTTTATAATTTACATATAATTTACTGTAATAATATAATACACTGAATACCAGCTATTATTACATAATATCATATGCAGTAATTACTGGCAAGAATTATTAGTGTATTATAATTTTACTATCATATAGTATCTGGTATTTATACTACCTTATATTTTGAATCTCATTCAATTTTCACAATTCTGTGAAGTAGATACTATTGGAATTATTATACCATTTTACAGGTAATAAAATTGAGGGTCAGGAAAATTAAGTGATTATTTTCATGGTCACAATGCTGAGTGTCCAGGGTAGGATTCAAACTCATGTTGCACCCAAGTTCAGAGCTCTTTTTACTAGCCCATACTGCTTCTCATGTGTGTAGGTCTTCAGTCTAAGATTATCTAAGACTATCTCTACATGAACCAATCAATTTTTAAAATGATCCTGTAGGTTCTCCCCATCCCAACAATTCTCCATCTCTCTGTATGTGGATATAGATATAGATACAGAGATATATAAAACATTATATGTTTCCATGTTATATTACATGTCAAATGTAATACATTACCTATTTAATATATTTTATATAAAGATATATATGAATATATATATCTTATATTTATATAAACATACATGTATTATAATCTTTGTCCCAGAATAAATATATAAATATTATGTATTAAATATATATTATTACATTTATATACATTTATGCTGGGACAAAAATTTTTGAATGGTTACTTCCAGATGAATCTCAAAAGGCATCCCAAGGAAGCTAGCTCTCCCTCTTCCTAGGGTAGAGAAGACTCATTGCTACATATTTTTCCAGCTTATGAGGTGCTCCTGATGTTTCTGTGGGCACACCCAGAAATACTGAATGCCAATTTCCCACCACCATCACCATTACCCTAGGCATGGATGTTAGGAGGTAGGTAGCATACTTCATTATCAGTCATTGTAATTGAGCAGAGTTCTTTTATCTTTTGAATTTGTTCGTCTGAAAGACTTTTCAGTAAGTTGCAATGACTTCATTTGGCTGACAAATTTTGCAGCAAACCCAACTCCAGTGAATTATTAACACTATCCCCATTCCATCTCCATCCCCACCTCATATAAATCAGTCAGTCAATAAACATTTATTAAGCACTTACTACGTGCCAGCCACTGTGCTAGGATACAAAGAAAGGCAAAAAACAGTTCCTGCTGTCAAAGAGTTCACAATCTAATGGGAGAGTCAACATTTAAACAACTATATAGAAATAAGCTACATACAGGATATATTGGAAATAACTAACAGAGGGAAGGCACTGGAATTAACAAGGGATCTGGAAAGGCTTCTTGTAGTAGGTGGGATTTTAGCTGAGATTTGAAGGAATCCAGAAGGCAGAGATGAAAGGGGAAAGAAATCCAGGCATTGGGGATAGTCAGTGAAAAGCTACAAGCTTTGGAATAAATCTGTTCATTTCCAAGATTGCTTGGTTCCAGTAGATATGACTTTAAAGAATCTTTACAGCCTTTTCAGCTTAGGAGAAGCTAACAGAGCTGTCATCCCAAACTATTCTTGGTGAAAGTATAATTAGTTCACTATTTAGAGCCAGATCTTCCCAGGGTTAAAACAACTGTTTCAGGCAGCATTAGCTAACAATTTCGCAAGCTATGGTTTCACTCTGTGATAGCCAAGTCAATACAACCATGACTGAATCAGACCACATAGAAAATCTACCCCAGTTCCTCTAGCAAAGCAACTCAGGCTGAAGTGGTTTGGAAATACCAGTCCTATTATTTGTTCAGTATTGAGACAGCACCAGGTACACAGAGCCATTTGGGTTTTAGGGGATCTATCACATTCATCAACAATTTTGTCAACCTAGTTTTAACCTGTCACTGAATAGAATAAAATGAAAGAATTAATTGTTATCTTTCTAATTTAGCTATAAAGAAGATAAAATTGAGGTCAGGGTTCACAACTTATTTATATTTATTTCTTCATGTGTAGTATACTGTCTTGTTCACAGTAAACATTTAAGAATTATTATTATTAATTGTAATTTTTACACTGGGCTGTGATTTCATCAATAAAGTGTGCTAATCACTGCTACTGAAGTCTGTAAATAGACTTCCTTTTGATTCTTCAATAGGATTTTTTTCCTCATAAAATGTACCCATCGATGCCTTCCTTCAAAAGGCACCTGTCATGTTGCTTTCTGCC